CAGCAGCCAGGCAAGGGAGGGGATTGTCCTGCTCTGCTCTGAGCTGGGGCAGCCTCACCTCGAGTGCTGGGGGCAGCTTTGGGTGCCACTATACAAGAAAGGCATTAGTCTATTAGAGAGTCACAAAGAGGGCCACGAAGTTGGTGAACAGCTTTGTGGGGAAGCTGCATGAGGAGCAGCTGAGGTCACTTGGTGTGTTCAGCCTGGAGAAGAGGAGACTGAGGGGAGATCTCATGGCAGTACAACTTCCTCATGAGACATAGAGGAGGGACAGACACTGATGTCTTCTCTGTGGTGTCCAGTGACAGGACTGGAGGGAATGGCATGAGTTTGTGTCAGGGGAGGTTTAGGTTGGATATTTGCAAAAGGGTGTTAGCCCAGAGGGTGGTTGAACACTGGAACAGCCTCCCCCGGGCAAGTGGTCATGGCACCAAGCCTGAGAGAGTTCAAGAAGTGTTGTGATTCTTGGAGCTGTCCTGTGCAGAGCCAGGAGCTGGATCTCCATGATCTTGTGACTTCCTTCCAGCTCAGGATATTCTATGATTCTAAGTAATTGTATTAGTCTTTTACGCTGAGTGATGTTTTTATCCACAGCAGGTCTCTCATAACTGCTTACATTCCTCACCCATGGTGTGGTATTGCTATGTAGATGCATAAAGCTGACTTTTTAGGTAACTTGCAAAGCAAGTTGCCAAGGGTCATTTTAAGAAGATGTATTATTATTCCATTTAGTTTTTATACTTTGGGCACCTAATCACCACTGGTCCTAAACACTTTGAAGTCCAGAAAAACTAAAAGAGTGGGGAAACCAGTGTGGTTTATAAGAATCGGAGTCTGTCATAGCATGAAATTTTCACGTGGTAATGCACAGGTTGGGGAAGTAAGGCCTTCGCTTTGCATACTGACAAGTATGGTAAGAACAAAATATTAGGAAAACCTAAACTGTCCCTTTGGAATGCCATCAAATTCTCAATCAGTATGAATACCAATTTATAATCATCACACTAGTGGATTAAGAGTCTAGTTGCCCTTCCTCAATAAATATAATTTTAAATGCATTCCAAAATGAATGCACACAAGATACTCATTGTAATCTTGAGACTGAGTAGTTATACAGTTGATCAAAGACTCTGCATGAGTACAGAGGAGCACAGCTCCCTTGGGTTTACACACTTGACAGTCAGCATCCTTTACATGAGTATAGTGTCTGCTCGCACTTCAGATTTATTTTTTTTACCTGTGCTTCTCAAGTATGATAGGAAACAGAATTTTAAAAAGCAATATGTAAAATTGTTCCTCCTGCAAAGTGAAATGCTCAAATTATTTATAGCTCTCTTCAGAGCTAATATCTCCATGTTACTGTATCACTAAATAATTTGAAAGTGTATGATGAGAGACCGGCCACTTTCTCTTTTAGTTTTACAAATGGAATATATTTCAAAATGTTAAACCTCACTATCAACTGTACAAAACAGTTTTATGCTTATAAAGGTTTGACCCCAGCAAGCAGCTAAGGAGCAGCATAGCCCATTCCCCTCAGAGGGATCGGGTAGAGAATTGAAAAGTAAAAGTAAGAAAGCTCATGTGTTGAGATAAAGGCAGTTTAATGTGTGAAATAAAAGCTGCATATACGAACAAAGAAAAACAAGGAATTAATTTACTGCTTCCCATCATCAGGCAGAGGATCAACCATGTCCAGGAAAGCAAGGCTCCATCACATGCAAAAGTGACTTGGAATGGCAAATGCCATCACTCAAAAGTTCTTCCACTTCCTTGTTCTGTCCCCCATTTTATATCCTGAGCATGATGCCATGTGATTTGGCATATCCCTTTGGTCATCTGGGGTCAGGTGCCCCAACTGTGTCCCCTCCCAGCTTCTTATGCACCCCCAGCCCTCTCCCTCTCAGGGTAGTAGGAGAAACAGAAGAGGCCTTGAAGTATGTAAGCACTGCTCAACAGTAATAATCTCTAATCTCAAGATTGTTTTCTGCAGAAATCCAAAACACAACCCCATGTTAGCCAATGTGAACAAAGCTAACTCTCCCCCAACAAAACCAGCACAATGATCAATTGAAAATTTGAGATGGAAAATTAACGTTTTATATTGAAATTCAATTTGCACAAACTAGTGAATACTCTGCTTTAAAAATTGAGTGTTATCACCATCTTTACTTCACATAAGTTCTGATTTTAGAAAAATGCAATGCTCAGTTATTTTACTTCATTCCCCAATTAAATATATTTTCTCTCACTTATCATTACTTATAGTGTTTTGGTAAAGTACACTGTCAAATTTTGTATATCATTGATTGAAGATACATTGATGAAGATACATATGGATGAAAAAACAGAAGTGTTTAAATAATTCAGTTCTATTAATTTATATACTTCTTCCCATAGGTAAATATCCAAGCTGGTGAATATCCAATAAAGGCAGTACTGAAAACAGATGACATTTAATTTACCTTAAGAAAAAGATAAGTGTTCGAGTCTAATCTTAAATAAATGTCATGGCACTACAGGGAAAGGATATGGTGAGTATCTGTTGCAGATGAGGCTAGTCAGGGTAATTAATTAAAAATAAGAAACTCAGAACCCTTACATGTTTTGGGATTTAAGGAGGCTACTGTGTAAAAAAAGTAGACTGATAACAAAACCTGACAAAAAAAAATAATCTTAATTGTCTCAGAAGAACAAGGAAGATAGCCATATCTCCTTCTTCCCTTGCTAACATTAAATGCTAGATGATGAAGAATTTGAGGCTGGTGGTGGTAGTGTCTTATCATAACCTCTTGCCATTACTGCTTGAGAAAGATTAGTAAATTGGACCTCAGGAACTAAAAGGATATTGGGAGACAGAGCACAGTGCTAAAGAAAAGGCATAGATACAAGGAAGTATATGCATATAAATCTTAACTGTAATACTAATTAACATTTTATCAGTTAACTGGACAAGTAGTAACTTTGTAACATTTTGATCAGTCTAACTGCAAAATCTTATTTTCATGCATAAGGTGAAGGGCTTTTATTTGCTTTTAACTGGATTTCATGTGTAAAAAGCAGTAATAGAATATTATTTCTCAAAATACGACTATTTAAATACATTGTTTTAGGGACTATTTTACATTAACCTATCTGAAACAGAGGCTTCCTTTCCTGTCAATTATTTTTTATTAATTAATATTTAATAATTTTAGTATATTCTTGTAAGCAGTACTATATCTTAATGTTACACCAGCAAGTTTATTTCTACAACTTTTTCCCAATGCCATTTAAGGAGATTAGATATAATTTACATAACCTTGAACTAAGATTTTCACTAGGGTAATTAGACTATAAATGTGTTAGAGTGCATACAATGAGGGACGGTACCCTGAGTTTAATTTCTGAAGATTTTAAGTATACATTTGAATGTATATTCATTTAGAAGAATGAGTAAGTTCTTTACAAAAATTCTTGGTCTGCTTTTACATCAAGCATGGTGGTAAGGCTTGTAAAGGTGTACTTTTGGGAATCTTGACTGTATGGTCAGAAAAGGAAATGCATTATTAGATAATTTAGAGTAGCCTCATAGGTAATGTTAGGAACAAGTTAGGTTGCAAGGTCAAGTTGTTGCAATTTACAACAACTGATGACATAACATTAATCCCACTGACAATCAAGACCAGCATCAACCTGAAATAAATACAGGGAATATTACCTGCTGTAAAAACTTCTCTGAATGTGCTTGCTACTGATACAAAGACATTCAGTACTAAAATCCTCTAATAAGCAAAGCACTGTGTATTTTTCATCATGGAGGCCTTAAGAGATTTTTTTTCAGCATATAAAGAACTTAAAAAGCTCATTCGTAGAAGCTGAGTAAAGCAGCTTCACAGTGAAATAACAGCTCAGGTGCCAAAAAAGGAGGTTTATCAAGGAAAAGTTTTAATCTGAATGTCTTCTTATTTTTTAAAGACACGGCTTACTTTATATATACCATGGAAGTCCTTAGCAACAGAGACTAGATCTGATACAACTGCAGTTCATTAACCTGAGGTTAATGCAAGACCCTGACATACCTTTAATTTCTGTACAGCCATGTTTTCTGGTGCTGACATGTGCCATTTTCAAGTGATTATCTAGCTACTTTAACTCAACCAATGATGCAGGGAGTCATAACACAAAGTGGCTCACAAAAGGTTTTTGGCAAGTTGCCATTAGGTGATAGACAATGGCACGGTGATAGATGTTTTGGCAAGAACAGTATTACAGAATCATGAAATGGTTTGAGTTGGAAGGGACCTTAAAGACCATCTAGTTCAAAGCCCTCTCCAGCCACCATGGGCAGAGATGCCATCCACTAGGTCAGGTTTCCCAAGACATCATCCAATCTAGCCTTGAATACTTCCATAAACAGGGTATCTATAACTTTTCTGGGCAACTTGTTTCAGTGTCACAACACTCTCTAGGCAGAGATTTTCCTACTAACATCTAATCTAAATCTCCCCTCTATAAGTTTAAAAATTTTCCCCTTGTCCTTTCTGCCCATGGGAAAAGTCTCTCTCAATCTTTCGTATAAATTCATTTTAAGTATCAAACAGGTCATAATGAATGCTAGTCAGAGGTGACTTCCCATTCCATTTGGACGATTTTTTCCTCTGACCACATCTATTCATCATTGTGTTTTGTGAGCTAAAAAAGAGTTTGTGAGGGAAGACTGAGACTGCTGTGTGATAGCCAAGTGACCTTGGAATTTCAGATTAATATTTTCTCTCCTGGATGTTCTGATGGAATTTACCCCAGAACTACTTCATACTATTTCAGCATAAATAGGTGGCATCTTCATTCAGAAACACATGGCCATCTCCATATGGATGCTTATCACCTCCAGGTCTCATTAACTAGATCAGTGTAGGTTGATCAGGTATCATATAGAGTGGGTGTACCACCATTAAAAGAGACTTCATGTTATGAGACTTCTCAATTCTCATTACATTTGAGTGGAAAGCTCTGTAAACATGGAAGTCTCCATCTGCATTAGAATAACTGATGCAATCTGCAGTTCTCCATCATGCCTTTAGATATGCCTGACACTTGATCACCAAATACAGTCACATCCAGCACTTTTCTATGATGACATTCTGCAGTATGATGACATAATGCAGAACTGTTTCTACATAGAAATACTTAGGAGTTTGAAAATTGTACTTATAATTCCAGTAGAAAAGGATGATGAAAATTGCCATAAAATAAATATTGGAAAGTTAAACAAAAGGGAGAACGAGAAGGCAAGAATAGAGCTCTATATTTAGATGAGATAGAAATATGTGGAAAAAAGCTTTGAAATAGCCACTGAATATAAAAAATTCTCTGTACCTCAGAAACTCTCTGCAACAATGTACTCTTCTACTATTTTGTCTAACAGAGAAATTACCTGATTATTTGTGATTGTAGTCCAGAGCAAAACCAACACAAATCTATCCTCCTCCACTCAGTTACTTTACATTTACATATTTTCATTCATTTAGAAAATTAAAAGTAATATTTAACTTATGTTTACTACTTATCACATGGCAACTTATTGCTGCTTTAATAATGTATGGAGCCTGAACATACATACATACATACATACATACATACATATATATATATATATATATATATATATACATACACAGAAGCCACTTCTTTGTCTCCAAAGAAAGAAGGTTTTGGCTTATAACCTCCTATTTCTGTGCCTGCTAAACCATGGACTATATTTTAGATCAGAATTAAAAATAGACATGACTTTGTTTTCTCACCTTGAATGTGCTATTTTAGTTAAGGGAACAGTACATTTAATAGAGACACAGCCTAATATGATTGCCCTTGCCATCCATTGTCTCATGAATGAGAAGCTGATTTTACATGTTCTAGATTTATTGATAATGTTCACATAAATGAAGGATCGTAGAAGAATCTTTGTAAGAAGTTGCTACCTACTTTTTTGCTATTTTCTTTCCTAATGACTACCCTTTTCATGACACTTGCAGGTCTCCTCTTTTAGGCTGAATAAATGTAGAGTAGAGTACCTTTACTGGGCTTTTTCTCAATTGTTATTGGTGTTTCCAGTTCTTTTTGTTGGTGGTGGTGGTATTTTTTGTTTGTTTGGGTTTTTAAAAATTTATTTGTTCCGTTCAATCCAAGGGAGCTTTAGATGTCTCTTTCACACTGTTCCTAGCATGGAAATTGCAAACTCTGTCAGTAGAATTTCTCTTTCTCTCCTCCTTTTTCTCTCTTTTTTTTTTTTTTTTTTCTTTTAATAAAGCTGATGTTGGTTAGCAGATTCTTGCTTGTAGCTTCATACCATGTATGTGTTACATTTTTTTACATTATGATCAATTCACTGATAAAGAATAATTAGAAAAGTTCACAGTCAAAATGGTCCCTTTAGGAGGCCTTTTGTTATTGCATACAAAAAAAAAAAGATACTTCGCTTAACTTTAGTAGTTAAAATTTGGGGTCTGCTGCAGTGGACTATGAATATTTGTAACAGATCCTACTCTAGGGCATCCTTGACATCTACTTTATTTTTAAGGCTTGAGTTTCCTAGACCTTAGTGCTGTGGGAGCTTACATTGCATACTGTAAACACTTAGTTTGAACTTACTTCAGTCTTTTTAGAGTCTAGCTGTGAGTAATTCTCTATGATTAATCCCAAAAGTTTCGCTGTGAACACTGACACTGGGCATGTGCCCAACAAAGAACAGTTGTTCTTGTAGCTCAAAAACACACAAATATTGATTGGATTCCAAACAAAACCTGAGATTTTTAAAATAACAATGGTAGAAAATAAGTACAAACCATTTGCAGTAATTCCTCTCTTTTTACTATTGCTTTCAGAAATTAGAGTTCCCCACATAATTTTCATAAACAGATTATTGTGTGTGGATCCCACATGCTTGTCTTCTGTACTCTCTGACAAAGTATTTGGCTACAATACAAAAAACAGTATGGCAGCTTAATAGCTGACCTTTCAGACCAAAAGCTAAACCTCAGTCTTTCTCCCATCTTTGAAATGAGGGCACACATCATTGTACAGCATGATATTTAGAAATTAATTCAGAATTGTCAAAATTGTGAAACGAGGCACTGGACATTTTAAATAAAACTGAAGAGAAACTGGAAGTAATTGTTACTTACCACAGGATTTTAATGGAAGCAAATGGAAAAGTTAATAGTATACATTCACTAATGTAACATTTTGATTGTTTTTAGCTCTCATATTTTCCAAATGTTGTAAAGCATGCTTGACAAAAATAGAAGAAACGATACTGCAAAAATGAGTAGCTTGAAAATGAGGGCTTGCCATTTCTTGTTTCTTCTCTTCTAGTAAAATGAGCTGATGCTCTAAAAAATTTTCTTTCTGCTCTTTATTCATATCCACTATTACTATACCAGTATTTTTTCCAAGTTTTCTATTTACATACACATTTTTCCATGGGAGTCTAAAGAGTAATATTACATGAAATTTTGTATCTAAAAATACAGTAGCTCTATGTGAAACTTTTTTTAGTAAAATAGCCTCCATCTAATCAGTCCATAAGAAAGCATGCTGGTAGAAATTCTCTTAGAATAGAGAATCATTTTGTGTTACTTTAGTACAAGTTAGAGAAAACTATGCCTTATGCTAATTTTAATGATAAATTACATCAAACACATGGATCCTGACTGATAAGTTTTTCATAGTTCCTGGACAATACAAGTATCTTAACTAAATTTTACACTGTTGTATAGAGAATTTCTCACTTGACACATTTCAAAGTCAAGCAAGTCTGACTCTTATACCCAATCTGCCATCACCCTGAAAACCCTGTTGCCATAATGCCTTGCCCTATAAATCCACAACTGAAAATGAGTTATGGTAGATAAGATACTGTGTTACTTATAGGATTTTTTTACTCTTCTCTTTTTTAAATTCAAGATTTCAGATCACACCTTAATAAATAATGAAATTTCATTTAAGTCTAGATTGGTAACTGAATCATGCAACAGAAATCAAAGAAAATTTGGCTGGCTCAAAGTAAAAACTGTAATAAAACTAGGGTATCACAAAAAAAAAAAAAGAAAACAAAACAAAAAGAAAAAGAAAAAGCAAGCAGTTAAACCTTTAGAAAGATGAAAGGTCATGACAGTGAACATAACACAAAGAACCATCTGTTACAAGATTTAATAAGCTAATATTTTAAGTCAGTGACCTCTTCCTGAATACTGGATCTTTAATGACAAATCAGATACCAAACAAACGTCTAATGCATCTTTAGTCACTTAAGACTTAAAGATTTGTCTTCCTGACTCACTGTGGACTTTGCTTTGTTACTTAAATTTTTTGCAAAAAATGTACAGAACTTAGCCTGACTTTTTACACTCTATAATGATATGTCATAGATATCTATACAGTGATTGTGACATCCAGCAGTAGATTTAGTAAAAAATTATATATTCCTATTCAGTTTGAAACATTAAAACCAGAATAGCCATATCTACCATTTACCTAGGAAGTCCAAGTTGTTTGTTTCTAATTCCTACCACTTGATACGGGCTGGAGGATTTCTTAAAACTAAAAGAAGATAAAAGTGCATACAATCTTGATACAGTCACAATATCTTAACTGAAGAAGTAACATAATTTAAAGTATGCTTGTTCTTCATTATCAGTCGTTTTACATTGATTAATTGTTTTGGGGGGTTTTTTTTGGGTTTTTTTGGGTTTTTTTGGGGTTTTTTTTGGGTTTTTTTTTTTTTTTTTTTTTTTTTTAGCAGGGGAAAATATTCTGTGCTTTGTTTAATCCAAGCTTGTGTACAGAACACACAACAGACTTATTTTTAGGAAAATGAATTTTCACTTCTATATTTGTAAAGAACTAAGTATACCAATTTATGCTGTTAATATTTTTTTGACCATTATACCCATTAGCACAAGGACAGTATATCCAAGGTAGCTGCATTTTAAATCATTATTTCTATTGAAATGTTCCAATTCTTAATGGAGGAAGAGGCAGGCATAGTTCTCATGGTTTGGGTCACCTTTAATGTCTCTGAGATGGAAAAGAACCTCATGACTTCCTGTATCTCCCTTTATTGAGTACCTCTGGGTAAGGAAATGAGTGAACAACCTGATAAAAGCAAATACTTGTGTGGAGTTGTGGAGATGGGAAGCTGTCACGCCTAGGGTTTCTGAATATCACCTCCTGAAAGAAGACTAAAATTAAGATTGCTATAAAGCTTTGCCAGAATGAGCCAGTTACTAAAGAAAATCTGCCTAGAGATTTTCTGCCCTTGTGTTTTTGGTTCTAACTAGTGTTATACAGTTGGGACTGTCTTAAGACAGGAAAAGGGAAATACTGAATATTCTGCAAAAGTCCATGTTCAACACCCTCTCAAATAAATGTTTCTGTTATCTGACAGCTGGAAGAAATCTCTGCTCACTCGCTGCATATTAGGGTGGAGAGATTATGAAGTTGGCCATCTCAGTGTGAAACAAAGCCTTGCTTAAAAATATGAACATAAAATGATTATCAAGTAGAGAATCACTTGCCTTCAAGATAATTTGCAATTGTTTTCACATCTTCAAGCAACTGTCATTTTAGCAGATGAATTATGCTGCTGTTTTAAAAGTAGACTTTGTTTAGAGCCTGCTTCCTGAACATGAAGGATTTCAAGTTCCTATTACAAGCACTTTTTTAATTAGCGAGAAAGAGCAAAAGAATAGGTAATAAATAAATGAGATGCTGTCAAGTGAAAAAAGCAAAACAAGTTAATTTGTACCTTGTTCTTTGCTAAGGTTTACTCTATGGTATATGTGTACATTTGCATATAAGCCCATTCAAGCAAAATATACTTCCATTTCCACAGACAGGAGAAATGTACAGGCACAAAAGAAAGGCTGGGTATCATCCATGGCTTAGCAAGTTGTGCTTTTGAGGGGGTTCATTGAGATCAATTACAACTCGATCCTTTTAGCGTCTGCTGCCTTCTTAATGGAGACAGCAGCCCTTACTATAATTGCAGTAATTTAGATCAATGGCTTTTACAAAATATGTGAACAGATTAAGTAACCTAGATTTATATATAATAGCACTCTTTCCTTGCTTAGCGTGGTTTGAGGTAAACTCCTTGAGTAACATATCCAGTTATGAAATTAGGGTTTCACTGCCCCAAGGAGCAAAATTCATGCTGTTAAGTTCTGGCATTTATATGCGGAAATAAATTACTATAGTCATCATTATTTCATCGAGTACATCATCAGTTGCAAAAACATGACCAAAAAAATCAAGTAAAGTTCTCATTATATACTTATTTTGCTAAAAATGTAATTTATTTCTCAGAATTAGTATACTCTTCCCTAATTAATCTCAAGACTTCTGAGATACAGAATCATACTCAGATTAAAACTCCTATACCAGTTCTAGCTATGTTTAGCATAAAATGTACTCATGCTTTCCTTCTATGTGAAATAGCCATATTTTCCTCTTATTAACCAAAATGCAAAGCTTTATTTCTAAAATAAGTCTTTATTGCATTAAAAATAAAATTATCAAGGAAAAGTATATTAAGTCATAGTTAAAATATAATTATGAAAAAACTGAAGTTAAGGATTAGAAGTAATTTCTTAGCCACTTCAATTTCCTCTATGCTTTAAACTATGTTTTATTTATGAGTAGAAAAAGAAAAAAAAAAAAACAAAAAAACCCTCCAAAGTAATAAATAAAATACTTGTCCTCTAAGATTGTATTCTAAGCAAGCAGGTATAAAGAAATATAGGATATCTGTAGAAGTTATTAGCACTTTTACATGGTGCTAGAGGCATGGTTTGTATTGTAAAATACTCAAGGCCAATATCAATATCTGGGCTTACAACTTTAGACCCCATACAAACTTCTAGCATCACTGAATTTCACCAAAGTAATCACAGATCTGGGTTTGAATCACAGTCTGTGTTACAATCTAACTTTGCTGTAAGCATCTTTACCTTGCCACAACTGTAGCTTCATACTAAATTCGGTATTTACTTTACTGGGAAATAAAGATTTAAAAAATGCAGTATGTAGTCATGAACTGATAAAATACTATTTACCTGAACTAAAAATGCCAATATTACTTCAGCCTCTGAAAGTTCTTCTGTTTCTTAGTGGCCCTGTTTTGCAAAAATTAAAATTTAAAATTTTCAGTGCCATTCCTGAAGCATACTTTCATGTGTATGAAGGTAGTATGTTTTTATGAGTTACAGAGGTTTCCAAATACACAGTTCCCTCAATATTGTTGTATTAAGAGTAAAAAAATAATTTAGCAGAAAGTAAACTCCTTTGCATTCCAACTGATCCTCTGAGGGCTGGGTGAGGCTGGCCTTAGTTTATGATTATAGCCAATTCAGCACTATATGTGTCCAGTTGCAGTCAACAAAAAACTTTCACAATCACAGATTCACAAATAGTCCAGTTTATTGAAGTAACAAAAATTCAGATTTTTAAATATTGTTAATAAGTGCACTTAATGCTTTAGCACATGCTATACTAAAGCTAGCCAATGATTAACTGAAGTAAGATAGCAAGTCAAACTAAAGAAACAAATTCAGCTTTTCACTAAGCTTAATTTCACTCTTAATTAGGCATGGTTTTACCTGGGTATGCTCTGATGCACTCAGAGAGATATAATTGGTTACTTGTCGCTGCTAGTTCTCCCACTAGTTTTAGTTGAACAGTACAGCTGGTCTATTAAAACCAGTATCTTCTGCTGCAATAATTCTGTGTCTTAGGCAAGTCAGGAATACTTGTTTGACCTGTGAAACATGCAGATATTGCCTCTGTTTTCT